TTACACGAACAAACGTCCAGCTTCATAGTCCAACTAAGACAGTTCGCGAGCTGTCGCAACTCGCAGCCAAATCCAAAGCTGAAAGGCGCTGCATTTCCTCCAATCTCCTGCGTCTCTCTCACCGATCCGCCATTTGCACCACATTTGCCGGAATAATCAGCCCGCTGGAAGGTGGCGCCAGTGACCCTGGTGACCTTTGGCAGATCCCCGGGCCACCGCGCGTCGCCTGCTCCCTCCCACTCAGACGATACGCTCACGGGCGCAGAGTCGTTGTGTCAGCGTCGTCGGCGGCGGCGCGACATTCCTGGCGCTCCGCGGCGGTGACGCACCCGTCGGCGTCGACGTCGTGTGGGCCACGCCGCGTCGGCGCCTGGGCCGCGCCGAAATAGCCACACTGGCGACGGCCCGGCGCAGGGGAGGGGACGTTAGAAACGTGACCGTGACGTGGCCGGCCCCAGTTCGTGTGACGGTGATTCGGGCCGTCAGTTGATCCATCACGGTGACCAAAGCGAGCGCATTGAGCGCGCGCACCGCGGTGGCAGTCCGCGTCCCTCCACGGAGCGGCTGGGTGTGGCGCAGCCGGCGCCGCCGCCTCAAACCGCGCTGTCATAGCGCACGGGCGCGGCGCGCGCTACTGAAAGGTTTCATTAGAGCTCCAGGGCGGTCCGGGCCGCTCCGTCAGGCACCGCCAATTTGTCCGCTGGCTGCTTTGTGCGCCTCCGTGGCTCGCGGACAGGACAATCGGAGCCGATAACATCAACGGACGCCCTGTGGGGCCTCCCATCGGCGCTCTCAGGCCGCCCTGTAAGGCCTCCTCCCAGCTCCCATGCAGGCCGCCCCTAGACCCGGGCGCCCTCTCAGGTCAGCTACGGAGCCACGCCGGCGCCGCCGACGGGCGGTGTCGTCTGACAAAATGGGTCGCGTGGGGCACCGCGTGCCATCACGGCTGAGCGCAGAGGCTCCCCATCCCCAGAGGCCCCTGCTGGCGCCACGAACGCCTCCGTGAATCTCGGGATAGCCGGCGCCTGTCAAAGGACCGGCGCGCTCGCATTAACCAGGGCGGACCGGCGCGGCGGCGCCGCTGCCGAAACCCAGTGATTTGCTCCGTAACGACAGCGATCCCTCGTGGGTCGTGTGAGTTGGGATCGGGAGGGCACGGCCGTGACAGTGATGGCGCGCGGTCGCCTCTCTGTGCAGGCTCGGCACCGGAGCGATGGCGGCTAGACGGTGACGGTGAAGGATGTCCATTGTCCATCCTCGACAGACTGTCCCCTGACGCCGGGCGGTCTCCGTCAGCACCGCTCTGGACAGGCCAGGTCCCATGCAGTGTCTGGCTATCGGTCGATGGAAGATATCCCGAATACTGCCCTTTGAGTCATTTTCACAGTGGAACGCCAAACATGGTCACTAAGCAAGGATGCGATCGTTTCGTAACACACTGGGCTGAATTCATGCCGCAGCTATTCGTCGAACCGTTTCAATATAGAAGCAACAGGAGCTGCATCACTCAGCTGGATACAGTGACAACTTTAAACCCTGCGACACCACGTTCCAATCAACCAATCACCCAGCCTCCCCACCGCTCCTGATCACCCGAACAGACCCGATCGGTCCGACCTGACCTGCGCGGCCACTAATGACCGACCCGACCGGCCCCGGCGGCACCCTATCGGCGCCGATCGGCCGGGCGCGTGCAGTCGAGAGCGGCGCGGCGCCACGAGCCGGCCGGCCGCGTGCTCTATGGACGGCAGGCGCTGATAACGGTGGCCCCGAGCGGCGGCAACCCGATCCCAGGATAAAGGGCTCGCCAGCGCGCCGCTGACGAGGTCGTGAGCATCCTTTCAGCGGATTAAATCGGCACGAGCCGTGGCTAGCGGTTAGTTCATTATGACAGGGCATGAGTGGTTTCACTGCATGAGTCGTACAAGGAGATATTTCTCTCGTTTTTTTTTTAGTTTGTCTAAATGATATCTCGCAGTCATAAGCGCAATCAACATTTTTAGAGATCTAGTGCAGTGACCCATAAGTGGTATCATTACGCTTAATTGAACAATTATACCGCTTCATTATTTATTCCGATTTCATTCTGATGAAATAATATCCTGCAGTGTTTATGGCTCCCATTATACGGCGCACGTCTGACATGAGGCGCCGGGCCGGCGGAGGAGCCCCGTCCACTCTGAGGAGCCCGGCGGAGGAGGACCCGGTCCACTCTGGGTGCTGTCGGCCCCAGCGGCCTCCGCAGCGACCTTGCGGTGCCGTCTGGGTCACCAGGTCATCGGTCGTGTCGCGCCGCCGGTGACACGCCGCCGACGGCCTCATAAGGAGCACGGTGCCGCGTCGAGACGCCCCGCCGGAGACAGAGACCGGTAGGCGCCGGTGGGAACCGGAAAGGACCCTGAAGGACCCTGGAGGACCTGATGTAGCCCGGAGACCGGTGAGCAGAGTGGTGAGCCTGGAGAGCCTGGGGACTGCTGAGTATGCCGCCACCACGACTTCTGACGGAATCATCATGCATTTGTTGAACATTATGTTGAAGCTCAGCGTTCAGTCCGCCATGGGTAATATCAGTGATGCAATGGTTACCAACTTTGTTTAATGTTTTTACTCTTGACATCTAGGCGCGGAATCTCTGTTTGATCAAGGAGGAGCTCACATTCACCTTAACCGGCGCAGGTATTCAGACGCCATACACAATCAACAGCTCCGAGTACACGAGCCGGCCAGTAAAATACGATCACCCGTGATATTTCACGCCCGTCTGACTAAATGATAGCTGAGATCTATATGTGGCTCATCATAAATTTACACTAACGACCGGCTGGGCATCATGTGCAGCCCGATTTGGCGGCTTTCCATTCAGACAGCGCGTGCTGCCGGCGATTTCTCGTCACTTATGTTTACCGAGCATGACCGGGTGATACCTTTTCGGCCCGGGCTGGAGTTCGCATCAGACAGCCGCTACCGATGGGATTTCCTATAGGGGTGGCTGATCAGATGTCCCAGCCCGCCCCTCCTCCCATCGGAGCCGCCAGGGGCCTCGGAGGCAGCGGACCATGACGAGAGGTCAGTTTATGAGCCGACGCGGCTGTTAACTACATAGCTTTGTTGGGCGCCAGGCGGCAGGTCACGTAATGAACAGGTCCGGGCGCCTATAATTGTCCGATGACAGCTTTAGTGTCCGGCACAGCTCATTCGCATTCCTGCCGCTCTCGGCGTGGCGTGGCCGCCGCGCCGGTCGGCCCGCTCGTGGTTCACGAGTTCGCTGGGCCCCGCCCCACGCCCCGGACACAGCCCACGAATCACGAGCGCCCCGGCGTCCCGAACAGAGCGCGGTCGTGACCGGCGCCCCAGGGACGTGGTCGACCGGGCGGGGTCCGGCCCGGCCCTGACTCAGCCGTCCGCTCCGGCCCGGCCCCGGCCCTGCCTCACGGGACGGTACGGGTCGACCGGCCTGCCCCCGTGACCCAGCTGACCTCAGCCAGTCGGTACCGCCCCCACGGCACGCCGGGGTCATCGGTACGACCGACCGGGGACGCAACCGGTCCGCTGGTGCTGGGGATAGCGCCGGCGTGACAGACTTTCATCCCTCGGGGTTCAAACGACTGCTAACATGCGGTAACCGAGGTAAAAAGCTGGTCGTGAGAATACACAAGCGCATTCCGAGAGCCATGACGGTCGCGAGGGAGATTTTCATGAGAATTGTCCAGCTGATGTTTGAAAAAACAAACACGATAAAAATCGTGGGCGTCGTTACGCTGTCATTTGGACCATTCGAGCGCCGCTTATTGATAACCAGGAGCAGATTAAGTAACGATTTATTTCCAACAATATAGAAAACCCGACGCTACTTTCTGAATTATTTAATTCAACTTTTCTAGCGGCGCTTCTAAAAAAGAAATGAAATTTAGACGGCCGGCCGACCCCATCAACTTCCCCATCTTCCTCGCTCCTCGGCCTAAAAACGTCTGCTCCAGGCCCAGGAATGTCTCCATCCGCTGTCCCAGCGGCAGTCCTCGTCTGAAGAACATCCCCAGCGCCGTGCCATCAGTTGGGGTCGCCGGGTCACCGGGGCACGCGCTGGGACAAAGGCCGGTTAAGTGGCGGCCCGCCGACCTGTCGTCACTGTCTCGCGTGCCCCCAGTGACGGGGACGGGACACAATGGACCGGCCAGGACCACCGCGAGTCTCCAGACAGTGGCGAGGACGCGTCAGTCGTCCGCAGAGACGGGCGAAGACACGACAGACGGGCCACATGGCGGCCACGGAGTGACAAGGTTACCTCATCTGGGTCGGAATGAAATGGGGCACATATGTTTGTGTGTTGACTGTTGCGGAGCTGAATCATGTTATGCAGCAGTGGTGGCACTGGTGGTGGCTGGACAACCACTGTTTTGTGTGCTTTTGTAAACGTTAGTCATATTTTCCATGTAGAGCATCGCGTGGTAATGAGCATTGCTGAAATCGTGATGTAAAATATCACGCAAGAAGGAAGCCTGAGTAATATTGTTGTCAATTTTCCCTTTATGGAGGAGCACTGCTCAGTCAAGCTTGCTTGGTCACACAGACGAGGAATCTTTCACATTTACGGACGTCACGCTAGTTCAGGGTCGCCTCCAAACCGGCTTTGACAACTATTACCCCGCGTTACCGGGCCAATTGACTGTTGTCCAGTAACGGCCCATCCGAGCGTCTTACCTCGCCGTCCTTCCTGCACTCGGACAAAACTGCACAACGCTCGCCACTGTATCGGCGTGGTGCGGTGGCTGGACGGGCAGTGAGGCGCCTGGCTCGGGTCCGCGATTTATTGGACTTGAATAGCGGGTGATAGTGTAACTCGGCAAGTTGAGGAATGTCATCAGCCCCAGGGGTCCGATTGTTGTCACCCACATATAATACTTTCGACTGAGAATTGACACCTGCTGACGGCTGCAAACAGCGCCGGATGGCACGCAAAGTGCCGCAGATTTACTGCCCACGTAAGACTCCCCGTTACTTACCTTCAGATCGAGATGCGCGATCCGCTTGGAGTGCATGTGCTCCAAACCGCTGAGAATCTGTTTGATGAAGAATGAAGCCTCTGCTTCGCTGAGTCGCTCCTTCTCCGTGACAAACTCGAAGAGCTCTCCGCCGCGGACGCTGCAAAACAAAAACGGAACGTCAGTGAGGGCCGAGCGCACATATCTGCGTGTCACCATTCCGCCAGTGAGTGGCAATACGCTGTCCAATATCAAATGGAGCAGTAGCAGGCACGTGACACAAGACAGTAACGAATGTAAATTAGAGCGCTCGCTCAGCTGCAGATATTTGTATTCATCCCACGCCACAGCTGCGTGTGCACGTACAAGATTACGTTAGACTCCATGTGACGTTCATGCCCGTGACCTGCTCTTGATTCACGCTTATAGAGTTGAGTGCCCAGCGCGGCGCTGAGACCCTTATCCGTTATTTCATTTCACGATGATAAAACCGCAGTGGCGCCGATTTCGGCCGCGATAACTCGTCGCCTGGTTACGGGGCCACTTCACACCCAGCGGTGGCCGCCCTCGCCCTCACTCCTTCTCCCTCGCTCGCCCTCTCCCGCCGCCGCCGACGGGTCAGACCGTGCCGCGTCGCTGACCGCTGACCGCTGAGCGCTGACCACCGCTGACCGGAGCGGACGTGCGGTCATCATGAACTGGATCAGTGCTCTCCTGACGTCGGCGGGAGCCCAGATGCCCTCCGGAGACAGGGCGCTGCCCCACTGAGTGATAGCCGAGAGCCGGCGCGCCGGCCGCATACTGACCGCGGCGGGCTAGCAGGAGAGCGTGCGGTGCTCTTAGATCGCGCTGCATACCGCGGGGATGTAGCTATGCAAGTACGAGGACCGTGTTCCGATAGGGAGGGAGGAAATATAGACGTCGATGTCGAAGCAGAGCTGCTTACTGAATGTTCTGGGTTAAATCGCTAGACTCGTTTCGCAAGCTAGTAACTCTTGAATTTCAAGCAGAAAATCGCGACAGTAGTAAACGTCATTTTGCCATTTACTGCGCTAGTCGGCATCATTATGGATCTAAATTCATTCGAAAGGCATGCTCACTAGCCACTCCAGTATGTCTTGCATTCAGCTCAGGCTGCACCCGTTCATGCAGCGGCCCTGCCGGCCGGCCGGCGGGCCACACCCGGGCCGTATCGGCCGGCTCGGTAGCAATCGCGCCGCTGCGCCTACTGATTAATGTCGGCCTCTGTTCTGTATCGGCCAAACAACTTATCATTTGAGCCGGCCGCACAATACCCGACCGCACCGCGCTCAGAAGATCGGTAGGTGCAGCGGCCCTCAGGTGCAGAGAGCTGAAGTGCTACCGGTGCCACTGCCACTATGCATCGTTCTGGCTATACAATTTCAAAACTATGTCAGAGATATAGTTATTTGCAAATCCATGGGGGGGGGGGAGAAGTGAATAAAAACGAACCTGTATTTCACAGATGATTTTTCTCAACGAATTTGATTTGATTCCGAGCGTGCAAAGGTAGACCTGCCTTCATGGATGAAGCCCAATGAAACGCTTTTTGATGACAAACTAATGACGAGTTGGCTGACGTGTTGCGGCTGAAAAAGAGCGTTCAGTAGAAAAGTTTTACGTATAAAAGTATTTTGTTATGTTGCCATCTGCTTTAGAACTTGAAAGGCATCGTGGACTTTTTTGTCACACCATTTTAGAGAGCGAATTCCCCCAACGAGCGCCTGCGCCTCCGACCTGGCGTGCGGTCGGGGGTTCCCGTGACCCGCGTGTCGTCCTCTCAAATCACCGGCCGATAAGGTCCATTTCGAGTGGGCCCCTGGCAGATAGGGCATTGTTCTGTCTCGCTCGCTCCGATCAGCTCCCATGCCGCGGTGAGCAAACGAGGTCAGGCGACCCGTCCACCGCAACAGCCCTGTCGCTACAGATAACCTGACGTGTCCCTGCGGGTTCACCCGAGGTTGCCGAGGGTCATGACAGGTCAACCGGGCAGGACCCCGGCCTGGCTCCCATGCCAGTCATCCAACCAATCGCTAATGATAATTGTTGGATCATGTAACGATGCGTTGCGCTGATACCGGTCATTAACGGTTGGCCGGACTCACGAGGCTGTCCGCACGCTGGCCGCGGCTGACGGGGATGGCGCACTGCTTCCACTGACGGCGGCAGCTTCAGCAAAGGACCGCAGGTCCAGGACAGCATCAGCTTGGATATTGAAAAAAAATCGTTCAAATGACGCACCGAGGCAGCTTTGCTGACAAACTATGTAGGCCGCAGTTTTGCAGACTGACTACGGAGAATTCGAAAAGAGTTGGGTGCATTGCATCGGCTTGTCCACACCTCCTGAAGTCCTTGCACTGTGATAAACATTGAGAATCCCCACATCTCAGACTGCATAGTCTCTCATTGCACCTCCATCACAGCGCTGTACTTCGAGCGGCCCGAACACAACGGCTCGGCCCTCAGCAGCAAAGCGCGGCGACGAGCATCCCGGCTCACGTCCGCCTGCCGGAGGCGCTCCATTGGCGTCCGAGAGACACCGGTCAGCGCAAGGCCGCGCAGTGGAGCCGGCGGCCTCCGCGGCTGGCCCAGTGCAGGCGCTGCAGGTCCGAGTCGGTCTCCAAGCCGGTCCGAATGGGGCTGGATGGAACGGCTCATACGGGTCTGTGCTCTGCATGCTGCAATGCTGGAACAAGGATGGTAGATCTGATGCCGAGATTGGTTGTGTGGTTTGGTGTGTTGTCAAAACTGTCTATCTGTGAAGACAAATTACAAACGAAGCAAATTGGCTGAAAATACTTGCATGTTACGAAATTTGCCCGCGAACTATAAGTGAAGCTGAAAAGCTGCACCTGAAGATCGTGTCACTGGAAACGACGCATATATAGCGTCATGGTTTGCCAGCCTATCAGAGATTCCCGAGACAAAGAGCTGGCGCATCGCCTCAGCCGGCACGCTATATTTGTAAACTCCGTCGAAACGACCCGGTTCACGAAATCATGGCCCGACGTGAGCTCCTGGCAAGGCGCGGCTGGCAGACAGCCAGTTTCCGGTCATAGAGATCCGTGGACGGCCAGGTCAGGGGATCGGCCGGCTCCGCAGGTTGATCTGCGCAGCCCGAGCCAAGGCTGGATCAACAGGACCTCGGTGACCTCAGGACTCGGTCCTCTGAGAAGTGCTCTGAGTGAGCGATGCTCCGTGACTGCGGACGGCATGGCGAAGAGCTGTGAGGTCAGCAGCGGCACCGGTGGCTAGGCGGCACCGACAGAATCTGTGCCTACTGTTAACCCGCGCGGGGCTGGGGGGGGTAAATTTTACCCCCCCTCGCGAATTTTTGCGATATCTCAAAAACGGCGGCGCGCAGCACCGCCAAACTTTCAGTACCTTTTCTTACATCAATTTGACACGTTCCCTGAAAATTTGAGCGAAATCCGTCGGAAAATTTTTGAGAAATTGACGTTTTAGTGACGTCATGTTCGCCATTTTCGCCTCAAAAACGGCAAAAGTTCAAACGCCGCTAACATCTTCATTTTTAAAGGAATCAAGACGTAACAAAAAAGGTTATGCGTAATTTTACTTTGTCTATCAAATGGCTATCTCGGTTTTTTGAAAATTTTGGATTTTGGCCTAATTTTTTTCAAAAAACTGACTTTTTTGGATAAATCATTATAAAATCCAAAACTTTGAGTCTATCGAAAAAACCGGAATATATGTCAGAGAAGTGGTCTATGTGCACCTACATACCAAATTTTAGAAGAATCGGTTCTAAAATGTGGGAGTTATTCAAAATTTTATGACGTCACGACACACAAAATTTTTGAAAAATGACTTTTTTTGAAGTTCTAGACCTCGTACGGAAACAAAAATAGCACCATTCGATTCGCCGTGAAAAACTGCATCAGATAGACACCTTTTTAGGCCTTAACAACCAACTTCAAAATTTGACCTCACTTGACCTGACCTTGACCTGACCTCGACCTGAAATTCATCCAGAGGTGGTCCATATCACTTATTGAGTGTGCCTATTGAATTCTATGAGTAAAATGACCCATAAAACATGTGTCGCACATGCCCTTTTCTATATTTTGTTTTTTGGTGACCTGACCTGACCTGACCTGACCTTGACCTTGACCTCTGAATGATATTGTATGCAACGAATATTGTCTTGGTAGCCTAAGAACACGTTTTGGGCGATCAGTCTCAGTCCATGACTCCATTCTTCGGCAACTACGGTGCAAGGCCGATACTGTAGAAACTTGCAATTTGTACCCTTGACCTGACCTTGACCTTGACCTCAAACTTTAAATTAAGTACATGTTTTTAGTAGTTCGTGATGAGAGCTTTCGATTAGCGTTTGAATTTTCCAAATCGGACCATTAGTTCGGGAGATAACAGGGGGGGTAAAATTTACCCCCCCCCCCCCCCCAGCCCCGCGCGTTCGGCTGGAGACCCCAGCCCCGCGCGGGTTAATATCCACCCGTTTACCCTGCGGCGTCCACTGCTCCCCCTGACCCGGCCCGGCATCAGTCCGCTGTCGGTCGCCAGGCAGGCCCAGAGCGCCGCGCTCGTGCCGCGCGGCAATCGCAGCGCAGTGATGGCGATCTCGGCGCGCTGGTGCGGCAATGCCGACGCGGACGTGCCGGGCCGGCGGCGACGGGGCGCCGCCTCCCGCCGGCCCGGCCCTGTCCGACTCCGTTGACTAATGCTTCGTGACGCGGCTCGGGCCCCATGACACGGTAGCCGCTGCAGTATGCACGGCCCGTACCCCATCAGGGCTGACCGGCGACCTCCGACCCCGCCCGCCGGCTCAATGGTCGTCGATTGCGGCGCGGCGCATACGGCACACGGCGCTCCAGATTCGGCGGCGTGTCGTGGCGCGGCCGGGGCGCCAATTTCGCCGGCTGACAGACGCGGACAAAGCGGGTGGCCGATACGGGCGCCCGCTCCAGTCAGCCGCCCAGCCCCTCCCCCTGCGACCTTGCGCGGCACCGATCGAAATGGGTCACCCCTCGACGATCGACCGGTGGGCCTCGTTGCGACTGGGTGAGTCAGAATAGAACTCTGCTCGCCGTATCACCTCCATTTGGCTGTTTGGAAGCTGTTTGGTCTAATTCTATAGCGTTTCAATACCGCGGGCCG